CTCCCTCCGTCCAACCGGGCTTTTGAATTTTATAGTAGATTAAAAAATAATAGTATTTTATTAGTTAATAAAAATATGTAAGAGTTTTTAACATTTTTGTTCTTTGACTTTATATATAAAATAATTATATGTGTAATGTTATATTTGTAACTTAAGTAAAAATTAAAGGTATTTTGATATTAGTGTATGATTTTTTTTTCCTAAAATAAAAAATAAATATTTAGAAGTAGGACACACGAAAATGATAAAAATAGTACTTTTGAATGCTGACGGATGAAATATTTTTATTTTTATTTTTTTACTTTTCTTATTTTATTCAAATACAATTTTTTGTATAGTTTTTATTTTTTCAAATAATGGAATCAAATGAGGAAAATGAAATTTAGAAGAGAAAACCTAAAAGAGACTAATGATTATGATAGTAAGTATTTTATTCTTTAATTTGTTATATGTTTCTAATTAATTATAATTAAATGCTATTTATTATTTATTATTATTTATTTAAATATGATTTTATTCAAAGGTATGAAATCAAAATTTTATGTTTTTTTTTTAATATCTAATTTACATTTGTTATGTCTATAATTTTTATATATATATATATATATAAATATAAACTTATTTGGCTATTTACATATATATATATATATTATATTCTCTTCGTCCCGACGAAACGAATGTACCTTTTCGGTTTTTATAATAGATTAATAAATCATAGTATTTTATTATTATTGAAAGTATGTAAGTATTTATAATTTATGCATATACACAATTATATACTCTCTCCATGCCAATTTAAAGTAATGTTTTTACTATTTTTTTCTATCCTACATAAAAGTATTTATTTTTATTTTAGTAAAAGTAATCATACACTAGTATTAAAATACCTTTAATTTTTACTTAAATTACAAATATATTATTACATATACAATTAATTTATATATAAAATCAAAAGATCAAATTGTTGAAACTCCTTACACACTTACATTAACTAATACAATATTATTATTTTTTAATTTAATACAAAACCCCAAAGGGGTACATTCATCCGCAACGGAGAAAGTATTTGTAATTTATATAAACATTAAAAATATTTTTATATTAATATGTGATTATTTTTACTGTAATATAAAAAAAATATTTTGAATAGAATCGACGAAAATAATAAAAGTATATAATTTCAGTTGGAATGAAAAAAGTATATTATTATTAAAATAATTATTGTTAACAATTTAAATTAAATTAAATATCATATTATATAATAATTCGTGCACAGAATTGCATTCTAGTGTGTATTTATATATATATGGATTTTAATTCCTATGCTTTCATAATTTTGAAAATTTTTAATTTTTTTAATTATTTTCAAAGGATTTGTATAATTTATATATTTTGGATATAGTTAAATATGATAAGAAATAATTCAAAATTAGAGATAAAATCAGAGTTTGTTGCATATGAAAACTAAGTATGTATTCACATTATTCAAAACTATAGATTTGTTTTCCTTTTTCTTCTTTTCTTTTCAACTCTTTTTTGTTTTTTCTCTTCTATCTTCTTCATTGAGTTTGGCAAAAAAAAAAAAAAAAAGAGGAAGGAAAAAAATCCGCCCCGAAACTGACCCACCCTATAGAGATATAACAATTCGACAACTAGTGCCAAAAAAAAAAAAAGAAAGAGGAAGGAAAAAGAAAATTAAAGAAGAAGAAAAAGATTCATGGGATTCAAAAGTATAAGATCGTAAATTTATCATTAGTCGTTATCAAAGATTTTTCATGCTAATTTTGACCTTTCTAATTCTTTTTTTCTTCTTCTTTTTATTGGTTCTCTTTCATACATTTTTTTTCTTCATTTCTATTAATTTGGTAAATAAGAAGACGAAGAAAAAATAGAAATAAAGAAAAAAAAGAAAAAGAATGCAAGGGAAGAAGAAACAAAGCGGCTTGCAATGATATTTTCTACTCCTTCCGCCTTAGATAAGATGAATGCATTACTGTAAATACGAGAATTTAGGTAAAGTATAATTAGTAAGTAGTTAAGAAGTGTATTAGTAAAAATAATTATTATTTAGTAAAAATAATTATAAATTAAGATTAAAATAACTAAATAGTTTAATTAAGATTAAAAAAGATTTAAATTTTAAATTTTAAAATATGATTAAAGTGTATAATCAATTTTTCAAAAGAGAAAATAACAAATTACGTGAGACGGACGAAAATAGAAAATATGAACAAATTATGTGAGAGAGAGAAAATATTTTTTTTTCTAAATAAATTTTACTTTTATCTATATATATATATATAAATACATATACAAGGTTCAATCTTTATTTTGTAGTTATTTTCCTTTTGTATTTTTGTATTTTTTTTTTTTCATTCTTCAATATATTGGGTTTTTATCTGATCGAATTTTCTAAAAATTTTTTTCCTATTTTTATATTCTACTCTCAATGTGATGACGTGGAGAGGGTAACACATGGAGGCACACATAAAGCACGTGACCTCTTATTCTTACACAAGACTAACACACTTGCTCCCACATTCTACGGTAACTCCGCCATTTTTAACCGCCGACACATATGCATGCCACTTGTAGCGTTACGCTGCCCCAAGTTATTTCAACTTTACTAATATAGGAAAATAAATATATTATTTAATATATTAACAAATATATCCCAACAAGTATTTATTTTGCTGCAAAGTTTAATAAATATTATATTAGATTGATAGTTGGTTGATATTTTTTATATATAAATTTTTTTTTGCTTTTTATATATTAATTTACTATAATTATATTCATATAAATACTTATAAATTTAAGAATATTTCTAACAGTGACAAATAAAAATCGCAAAATATATGTTTGTGAATGGTGTTTATAATGATAAAAAAAAAAAAGAAAAATTTATGTGTAAATAAAACAATATTGTGTTTGGCTTAGATTTTAAACCCAATCGATATTATTAATACTTATATTATTTTTTCTTTCCAAAATATAATAGTAAATATTATTTAAATAAAAATTTCAATAAAAACCAAACTCTATATAGATATATTTATATGTATATATCCGCAGTGTAGCATCATGTAATGTAAACATCCATCCGTCGGTTGCAAGATTCATGCAGCTAAAGGGCCCCAAACAATCTAAGTGGCTAGATGTTGACCCTTGAAAAATGTCGACTTCCATGCATTACCCGCTAGTCAACGCTCCAATATTCTATATATACATATATATATATATATATATTTCATCCGTCCCAAATAGAAGTATCTATTTGCTTTTTGCACGTAATTTTAAAAATATTAGTATTATATTGAGATATAGTAGGAATAAAGTAGAAATGACTAAAATAACCTTATTAGTATGTGTGATATAAAAGTAATAGCATTTGTGTAATATATTGTAAGTTGTAAGGGTATTTATAATGTTAGGTAGATAGTACAGGGAAATGGATACTTTGTTATGGGATGGACTAAAATAGAAAAATAGATACTTTGTTATAGGACGGAGGGAGTATATATAAAGAAAATTCTGCAATACTCCATCCGTCGTTCAAATTTATACTCACTTTTCTTTCTGGGTTGTGATCGAAAACTATTCTCGTTCCCTGTTAAGTAAAAAATTTATTACATTTTTGTATTTTTTTTACTATAAAAAAGAAAAAATAACAATTATTACTCACTTTTATTAATCCCCGTCTCTGATCAAATGAGCACAAATTTGCAGGACAAATGGAGTATTTTATATCAATAATTTTATAATATACTTTTTCCATTTAACCATCAAATTCTTTTCGGTTTTTCTTTTTTTTTTTTTTTTTTTTTTTTTATTTTTTCTGTAACTTACACCATGTATGATTTTATTTTATTTTTAAAATTTTAAAACTAAGGTTGAGTTTTATTTATTTATTTTTTCAACTTTTATATTATCTCCCTTGATCCAAAATATGCTATTGGTTGGACATGTGTTTTAATAAATATAATCAGTTTGTTCATTCGGCATTTTTTGATAAATTGATTTTTTTTTTATATGGTTTGAAAAACTGTGTTGTTATTATAAAAAATAATATTTTGTACTAAATAATTGACTTTTTATGAATGAATGATTATATATATTATATTAATATGTATATTTATATTTATTTAATAATATTTATGCAGAGTTATTCCATTGAGAAATGATGAGTGGACTTATATTGATTTATTATGACATTAAGGGTGTGTTTGTTAAAAATTTTGAATTTGAATAGTTGTATGATGTGATATAAATAGGTGTTGATGCGATGTTTTGAATGTAAAATTGATTTTTAAGTATAATATAAAAAGTGAAAAATAAGTGTTTGATTTGATGTTTTTGGATGAAAAAAATTGGATGAATAATGTATTTAAAATTCAATCCCCCAAACAAACACATCCTAAGTGGGAATATTTTGAAAAAAATATACCATTAAATTAATGAAGTAATAAAATTTTTAGTAGGTTGAATGTATAAGTAGTTATGATATTTTTGTAAATAAATATAATATTGAATAATATAAATTAAAATTATGTAGAATTATTTACCATATATAAAAATACACTCCCTCCATCTAGTTAAGAAATATAAGTTTACATTTGACACAGAATTTAAAAAATGATATTTTTGTCATTGTTTTTTGGTATAAAAATAATATATTTATGGAAAAAAATATGGTATTTAATAAAATAATTACTTTGTAATTGGACGTCTGAAAAAAAAAAAAAAAAGAGTATATTTTCTAGCCTGAATGATTATATTTTTTTTAAAACAAAACATAAATTTAATGGACAAAAAAATATCCGATTTTCTAAAAAGAAAAAAAATGAAATAATTATTTCATATATATTTTAAATAAAAACATTACTTAATTTGGTATTTAAAAAGTAAATAAAAAATTATGACAGAAATGGGAAGAGACGTCACGTCAGAAATTCCCCCGGCTATATATAAAGCCTGCTGCTGTGCCTTTCACCAATATTCTCATTCTCCCCATCTCTATACAATATTATTTCTTCCGTACCTCCCCTCCGAGATTTTCTCTTTATTTTACTAACCAAATAAAATAAAATAAAAAATCGATTTTATTTTAACTTGCTTATGGATCATCAGCAGATTTTTCCGTCTGGCCGCGGCGGCGGCGGCGGCGGCGGTAACAATATTCTCCGGGCGGCGGTGTTGGCGGCGGTGATGGTGGTGTTGGGCGGATACCTTCTAGTGTGGGTGATGATGCCCACAACTGCTTACTTTCAAACATGGCTGCCGCTGCTCAGAGCCAAAACAGCCACCACTTATTTTGGGACTACTCAGGGTTCGAATATTCTCCCCTACAATATAACTTTTTTTTTTTTTTGCATAGATGTTATCGATTTTTTTTTTAATTATTTGTTAATAATAGTATTATATAAAAATATATATTTTAAATATTTAATAAATTATTAATAATAAATTATCATAATTTTTATTATTTTTTATATGAGTAATATTGTTGGTATTTAAATATTTTTTAATAATATTTCAATAAAATATATGCAATATGAATATCATTTTGTAAATAATAAAATTTTATATAATACAAATGAATTTAAAAAATTATATTTATTTATTTATTATTACCGTAAATTAATTTTATAAAAAAAGAGGAGTTTTAAGGTAGATAAAAATATTTATTAATTGAGGAGAAAAATACCTATATAATGTTAAAAAATTTAATTAAATTGATTTATATTTGTTAAATATATATTTAATATCAATAAATTTACCAAAAATAAAAAAGAATATATTTTGCGGGATGTAAAAAAAAAAAGTATAAGGTTATATGTGGCTAGACAAAAACAACATTTTATATATATAATAAAAAATTGTGTTTCTCTTGGTTTGATTTGATTTGATTTGATTTGATACTAAAATAGTTCAACAACTATTGTCCTATTTTTTTAGACACAGATTTTATATTTTTACCCTTACTTTATTTATTATTTTTAATCTCTATCATACACTTAAGGGCAAATTTGTCTATTCATAAAAAAAACAATCATCTGAAAAACTGTGCAAATATACTTTAGAACAATAGAAATTGGATGGAGGAAGTATTTGATAAGATATTTTATAAATAACACAAAAAATTATCAAAACTTCTTGCTAAACAACTGATTTGATTTTGGTTTTATTATTTTAAATTTCTCTGTAATATTAAATTAAATTAAATTAAAATGAAATTAATAATAAAAATTATTGACATGAAAATGGAATTGCAGTGGAAAAAGTTGTACTGCAATTGATTTTATATGTTCTTGTCTTACCTATATATTTCTAAACTTAGAAAATTTTATTTTAATAAAATTTACTCTTATTGAAATCATATTGAATATTCCTATTTCAAAAGGGAAAGTAATTATTGCTTTAAAATACGATCCGGTTGTAATTTTATTTTGAAATTTCCTTCAAATTTAGAAAGAAATTTTTGTAATGTGATTTATTTGGATTGGTAATTAATCCCTTTAGAAAGAAATTATTATTATTATTATTATTATTTATTTATTTAAATTTTAATTTAACTTATACAGGTGCAACTTGTTTGGTGTTCACTTCGCCTGTCCTCTTTGTGGCTTTGCTGGGCTGTGTGTATCTTCATTTTGGCTCTGCCTCTGTTAAAGGGTAAAAACAAATTATGTATTTTTTTATTTTTTTTTATCATATGTATAATTATTTTTTTAGATATTAAATTCTTTTACTTTAAATTTTTTCTCAAAAATTTATTATTTATATTTTAAAATTATTATATTTTATATAATTTTTCATTTCAAATATTAGGCCATTGATATTTTTATCTTAAAAGCATATTAAAAACAAAATTATAAAAGACAAAGGGTGTGTTTGTTTTGTGAGATTGTTGGAAAGAAATTTTTTTATATAAAATATAAAAAAATATGTATAAAATATAAAAATAATAATGAATAAATCACTTAAAATCAGTGTGGTAATTTTTATTTTTTCTTTGTTACGGTATATTTATTTTTAAAAATGATAGTATCTAATAATTACTTCAACTTCCTGTCAATTAAAATTGTGCAACTGAGCAGAGGTGCGAAGGTCGACGAACGAGTGCAGATATGGCGGCGACCGATGATCATCAAAGGCCTCGGGATCGTGTCGCGGATAGAGCTCGCCTTCTTCCTCATGTTCATGGCGCTCCTCGCTTGGAATCTCGCCGCCTATCTGCGCAACAGCTTTGCCGCAATCACGCCCAAATCCGCCGCGAAATTAGGGTTGAAACTGTAAGCGCATTTCAATTCAATTTCAATTCGTCGTATACGATTATGATAGAACAGAAATTTCTCTCGATTTTATCCGCAGTCAGTTATCAGAGTAATTAGATCTCATTAATTGTGGCGATGGATCGATTAACTGAATTGAGTGATTGCGTACAGGTGGGAAATCCGGCTGGACACGGCGGCGCTCCGCCTCGGTCTGGTCGGAAATATTGCCCTAACTTTCCTATTCTTCCCGGTGACACGTGGCTCGTCGGTTCTGCCTCTGTTCGGCCTCACTTCTGAAGCGAGTGTGAAGTATCACATCTGGCTTGGCCACATTGTCATGACCTTTTTCACTGCTCATGGAGTCTGTTACGTCGTTTTTTGGGCTTCCACCAACCAAATTTCAGAGGTATCTTTTTATATATTACTCTCTCACTCTCGGTCCAGCTATTTTGTCTCATTTATGGTACACATCAAATTTTAGGTAATATATAATTAGTAAGTAATTTAGAAGTATATTACTAAAAATAATTATAGATTAATATTAAAATTATTAAATAATTTAATTAAAATAAAAGAAATTATAAATTTTAAAATATTATTAAAGTTTATAATTATTTTAAAATAAACTATATGGACGGACGAAAATAAAAATAGTGGGACGGAAGGAAATAATATTCTGTGAATAATTTTACTAGTTAATAGGGTGTTCTTAAATATATCTGATTTTTAACAAATGCCAGGATATACCATTAGCACATAGTAATATTTAAAATGGACTTATTTTATTACGTAAAATAATCAATAAATATAGAATTATTTGGATTTGGAATTTAAATTTATATTTAAATAATAGTGTGATTAATCCTCTGTTAGAGAAAAAATATATGTTTAAGAAACATGATTAAGAATAATAAAAATTGGAAAAATTATGTGAAAGAAACAAAAAATATATATTTAATTTGATAAATAATTATTAAGGTTTGAATTTATCTCTTAGGTTCAAGAATAATAAAAATTTGAAATAGAATATCATATGATTAATATAAATAAGTGCCTAAGATGATATTTTGAATGAAATAATAATTTTTTTTTATAGTATATTAAAAAAATATATATACTTTCTCGGTCTGATAAATTTAGCTTCATCCTTTTGTATTTTTTCAAGATTAAATTTATGGGATAGAAAAAATATGTAATTAGATAATTTTTTTTAAAAAAAATATATTTAAATTAATGAATAATGCTGTTGATTCCTCAGAGTCAGAACTTGTATGATTTTTTCTCATTACAAGACAAAAGGAAAACTGCTTTTAGTTAGAATAAAGTGGAAAGCGTGGAAGCATGGGCAACACAATTTCTTCAAAATTGTGGTGCATTTGCCGTTTCTGCTGTTTAGACATTTTTAGTACGAAGAAATGAAATGTAGCCTAGATTTGTTTTCATTCATGGACTGTTGTCCCTAAACATAAAAAGACTTTTTAGAGTTTTGAAGTGTAAAAAAAATTATAATAAATTAAAATGAAGACCAATAAAATATTAGTATTTGATCCGATAAACAATAATAAATATTTGATATAATACTTTTAAAAATTACTATTAATAAATAGCACTTAAAGTTTAAAAAATATGTGTAAATGAAGCATAATTAAACAAGCAAATACCTTATAATTTAGGGAATGATCAATAGCGTGCACAATGCATACATTTTTTGAAAGTGGTTTTGACATAGTTTAACTATTGCTTAGGGTGATGGTAAGTTGTTGGGAGTTTATAGTTTTTGAATTATAATTTTTTCAGAGTATAAAATAATTATTTGATTTAATATATTTTATTCTTATTTTGTATAGTACTTATGCCAAAAAAATGTGCATAACTGAACAGAGTCGAAGGCATCGATTACTTTCATTCAGGTCAAATGCATTTGTATGATTATGTTTCAGCATTTACATAGTTTTGAAATAGAAAAATTTTGAATGAAAAGGGTAATCGCCATAGTTTGGAGTGTTCATCGTGACTACAAGTATTTCGAAGATATTAGCCTTCTAATTTGATATTTTGACTAGAAAATATATTTGAATCAAACATTATTAAAAAAGAAAAATCGTTTGTTTGTTTACAAAGAAAATCATTACAGACGAAGATAATGAAAATAGAGGTAAAAATTCAGAAAATAACAAAAAATTGTTTGAAGTTAAATTTTATGTAAATAATATGATGCAACTTTGGGATAAAAAGTACTTAAAAAACATGGTTTGGGAGCAAAAGTATTTCAAATATCATGCACAATCCAACCATTTAGTTTATGTATGTATGTGTATGGTTTGCAAGTGATGTTTGCTATCTTTTACTAGCAAGGTTAATTGTTTCTATGAGCAAAATGATGTTTCAGTATAACTATCAAGATTTGCTGTGTTGTTATTCATATTTTGGTTTCTATGGTTATATATATATATATATATAGATGTTGGAATGGAAGAACACAGGGATCTCCAATGTAGCAGGAGAACTATCTCTATTAGCAGGATTAGTCCTCTGGGCCGCGACATTCCCGCGTATACGGCGAAAGATGTTCGAGCTCTTCTTCTACACTCATCACCTCTACATCTTATTCATCATCTTCTTCGTGCTCCATGTTGGCATCAGCTACGCCTTCATCATGCTCCCGGGCTTCCTCCTCTTCCTAATCGATCGCTACCTCAGGTTCTTGCAGTCGAGGCGAAGCATTCGCCTCATCTCCGCTAGATTGCTCCCTTGTGAAGCCATGGAACTCAACTTCTCCAAAAGCAAAAGTAACCTCTCTTACATGATGACGGATATATATATATGTTGTGATTATTTTGTCGCAATTAATTATGCCTCGATTGATTTTTTGTTGTGTGTTGATAGGTTTGAGCTATACACCGATGAGCGTCATGTTTGTGAATGTGCCAAGCTTATCGAAGTTGCAATGGCATCCTTTCACCATTACTTCGAGTACTAATTTGGAGTCGGATAAGATAAGTGTGATGATCAAAGGGGAAGGAAGTTGGACTCGTAAGCTTTACGAATCGCTCGGTTCTTCGCCTTCTTTGTCAAATCACCTTAACGTCTCCGTCGAAGGCCCATACGGGCCTTCATCGACGCATTTCCTAAGGTATATATGATCGATCTAATTCATTTTACACGTCTATACTTAGATGAATTTGCACTCCCATCAATGTCGATTTTGTAGGCACGACGTGGTGGTGATGATAAGCGGGGGTAGCGGGATAACCCCATTCATATCCATCATCCGCGAGCTCGTCTACACGAGCGAGATACTAAAATGCAAGATCCCGAAACTTCTACTCATCGCCTCGTTCAAGAAATCGGTTGATTTAACCATGCTCGACCTCATTCTCCCGATCTCCGGCATCCCAACCGACCTAATCACAACCGGATTACAAATCGAGGCCTTCGTGACAAGAGAGAAACAACCAAACCCCCAACAAAAGAAGCCCATCCAAACCATATGGTTCAAGTCCAACCCGTCCGACGTACCCCTAACCCCCGTGTTAGGCCGAGACAACAATTGGCTATGGCTCGGCGCCATAATCACCTCATCTTTTACTATCTACCTCATTTCCATCGGAATTTTGACTAGATATTATATATACCCGATCGACCACAACACTAACAGGATATACTCCTCCGCGGCTAGAGGCGTGCTCCATATGTTGTTCCTTTGCATTGGCATAGTTATTGCCGCGACTATAGCTTTTCTTTGGAATAAGAACAATAGTGCAAAGGAGACAAATCAAATTCGGACCACGGAAGGCCCTACACCTATGGCCACGCCCGACTCGTCGTGTTACAATGTGGATAGAGAGCTCGAGAGCTTCCCTCAACAATCGCTCTTGCAATGCATCCAAGTGCATTACGGCGGAAGGCCCGATTTCAAGAGTAAGTTCTCTAATTCTTGCTTCCATTCATTTTACAAAAATTATTCGTTTCTTAAGCGCCATATATACATTTTCGATTACTTTATATATGCACTTCGTTGTCGACACCTCCTTTTTGCATGTACATTATGTTCGAATTAGATTACATTAGACTCCTAAAAGTCATATTTCAAGCTTTGAATAACTTCTTAGAAGATTTATTCTTTTAGATGATGTAAAATGATCGTCTCACCTAAAATTTTAAGGTTTATGGAAACATATTTTATAAGATAGATAGATAGTGATCATTTCCCTTTTCGATTGATACATAAGCTATGGATATGAGTAGTTCATTCATGTTAACTAAGTTTGTGTTTGATTGGATTAAGAATATCTATTGGATCGGAAGGAAGGAAGCGTGGGAGTTCTTGCTTCCGGGCCGAAGCAATTGAGGCACGACGTGGCGAGGATATGTTCTTCGAGTTTGGCGTCGAATCTGCACTTCGAATCCATCAGCTTTAGCTGGTGATGAGAGATATATATAAGTTTAGTATACATACAATACATAGATCAATACATCAAAAGATGGGTATTTGTTTTTGTATGATGGATGGGTTGAAGTGTGTTGTTTTTTTGTGGTGGACTGGTGCTGTTTTGGAATGGATGTTTCTGTGCTTCATTCACCTTCTCATACATATTGTGTTGGTAAGTTTGTTCGTGTGAAAATATTCAATTATCAATAATGAGTGAAATCCTCCTCCTTCCATGTTTTGAATTATTCGGAATTTTTTTTTAGGTAAATATAACTGTATAATACTCCCTCTGTCCTATTGGAAAGATGTTATTTGCTTTTTACAAGTAGATTTTTGAATATTAATATTATATTGAATTGTAGTAAAAAAGACAAACATACCTCTATTAATATAGTGTAATATAAAAGTATTAATATTTGTGTAATATATTGTAAGTTGAAATGGTATTTATTATGTTAGTTAACAGAAATAAAAAATGATTAGCTTTTAATGGGATGAGAGGAAATATGATACTTTAAATAAATAAAAAATGAATTTTTTATGTTGTACATATAGATATATATGTAAATGGTTTATTTAGAAGTATGATCATTATAGCCATTAAAATGGACTAGAAAAATAAGTTATCCACAAACCTCTATGACTTCTTAGACCAAGCAATGTGAATGATTTTTATATAGAGAATTTTTTTTTTTTCGTCGATTGAAGACTTTTTCTCAAAGTTTTTCAAAAAAATTAAATCATGAATTTTGTTTTGATAGAAAAAAATTGGCTAGGCTTGACCAGAGGCGCAGATGATGTTTGATTCTAAGTACTTTTATTCACTTTTTTTTTTTTATCTCTCTTCATTCTCGTATTCTCTTTTTCTCTCTTTAATATTATCTTTTTTTTCTTTCCCCTCTTGTCATTTTCTCTCTATATCCTGGTTCAAGGTAAGTGATATAGTTCAAATATTCTTTTGGTCTTACTTGAAAATATTATTTTGATTTTTATAGTAAATTGAAAGATATTAATATTTTATTAATTACTGGAAATATATAAAATAATTTTGACATTTTGTAGTTTATGTATAATTTTAATTATATATATATGTATGATATATTTATAATTTATTAAAAATTTAAAATATTTTAATATTAATATATGATTTATTGTGACGTAGAAATTTGCAATCGCTACTCAACTAATGCGCTTTGGATACACCTATAGTTGAACCTAAATGTGTGATCACTTTTACTAAACAAAAAAATAAATATTTTTGGATGAAATAAACGATATTATCAATTAGATGAAGATAGTATTTAATATATTTTTTCTTTTTAGCCCATAAATCTTTTATATTTATAGACACATTAATTGTAATAAATTATATAAACACAAAAATATTAACAAGATATTAAAATTTACTCTTTCCTTACAAGATATAGTGTCAAAATTACTATAGATACTATAATTTATGAGAGACGTAATTAGTAAATAAGTAAGAATATATTAATAAAAATAATTATAATATAATAAAACTAATTATAGATTATTACTAAAATAATTGTTTAGTATAATTAAAATTAAAAATATATAAATTTAAAAATTTAAAATACAATTTAAGTGTGTAATCCTTCTTTTTTTTTAAAAAAAAAATATAAAATGTGAAATAGACATAAACAAAATTCATTACATGACACGTGTGAGGCGGAGGAAGTATTAAATAAAATATTATTTATTTTTATTTCTTTTCGCAACTGATAGATGATTATTAAATTTGAAAAACAATTCGATCAAAAGATGGAAAAATTGCAATAAAAATTTTGTACTTATAATCAATTATCAAAACGCCTAAATGATAAAGAATTTAAATCCATTTTTAAGACTTGGAACCTGAAGAAATTTGCACGGGTCATCCGAAATTACCAAAGAAACCAACGAACACTATTGTTTTGTCTATTCAAGGTCATTTAAGGCCATAAACTCTAAAAATTGTACACTCATTTTTAAATTTAGAATTACACGAAACTCGCACAATTAATCTGAAACTACCAAAAGAATCAATCTATGATATTGTTTTATCCATCTGAGGTTAGGGATGTCACTGGGGAGGGTTCGAGACGGGTTTTGCAGGCCCCGGGACCTACCCCGCTAGAAAATATTAGGACCCAAGACCCGCCCCGCTCCACATCACCCGCCCCGAATCCTTCGGGTGCGGGGCCAACCCGATTATAAAGAGAATCATAGGAGAAATAAGATAAATTTAATTTAGAATTAAAGTTCTATTTTATATTACAATTTTTTTAAATAAATAAATAATATAGTTTATATTATATAAAAATGTAAATAAATTATAATAATTATTAAAACATTCGGGTTCGGATCCGGGTCCGGGGTGAGACGGGTTTATAGTAAAACCCGTTACCCGCCCCGAACCCAGCCGGGTCTAAAACTCAAAACCCACAACCCACCCCGAACCCGCTCCATTAAGATCGGGTACGGGGCTAACCCGCCCCATTTGACATCCCTATATGAGGTCATTTAGGGCCCCCAAAACCCAAAACGCTAAACACATGTACACCCATTTTCAGACTTAGAATTACATAAAACTAACACGGTTAATCCAAATTGAGCAAAGAAACCAATCGTTGATATTATTTTGTCAATACAAAGTCGTTTAGGGCCCTAAAGACCGTAAAGGCTAAAAAAAAAGTAAAATCATTTTTAGACTTGAAATTGGAGAAATTTGAACGTATCTTTTGAAATGATCTAACGAATCAACCAACGATATTATTTTGTCAATCCAAGGTCGTTTAGGGCCCTAAAGACCCTAAACGCAAAAAAATATAACTCATTTTTAAAATCTAAATTGAACGGAACTTGTACGATTTATCCGAAATGACCAAACAAAATGTAAACCCATTTTTATACTCCCAATTAGAATAAATTTGTACGGTTCATCCGAAACGACCAAACGAACCAATCAACGATATTTTCTTGTCAATCTAAGGTCATTTTGTCCATAAAAATCCTAAATGCTAAAAAATTCAATAAATTTTTATACAAGAACTTAAACAAAATTTGCACAATTTATCTAAAACGAGCATACGAACGGACCAACAAAATTTTTTGTTTGTTTGAGGTTGTTTAAAACCCAAAAAAGCCAAGACGCTATAAAAATATAAACTAAATTTTGGACTTCGAATTGGATAATTATTAGTCTTGCCTTTTAATGTCACTTTGGCAAATACATCCCAAATGTGTCACTTTTTTGTAAATTTTGTTTTCTAGTCGCGCTTCAAGTTTATGACGGTGTCAGTATGAATGAGATTGTGCTAAATATGATGAAAATGACAAAAAAATGATATATGTAGAATATATTTTGTCAGAGTGACAAGATAATAGAAATAATTGACCATAGTTACATAATATTTATTACACTATTTTCAATCAAAAGGTGCAAACAAATTTAAAAATATAATCGATAATATTAATTTTCTTTTCGAAATGATATAATAATTCTTCTTATGTAAAATAATAAATAATGTTATTTCTCACAGTTGTAAAGTGAACACATGAATCCCCGACGGACTGAAATATGAACAATATCAACCAGTGGTGGAACCAATACTTTTTATAGAGGGAGGGAGGCTAATTATCAAATTTTTGAAATAATATCATATATTTATTGTCGGCTAATTTGAGTATTTGGGTTGTTTTATGTTGGTACATGCAAAAACTCTAAAAGCCTTTTTGCTATTTTTGGCAATGAACATGCATCTGACATGTTGTCGTAGCTACCCTGTAACACGGTTTTGACACTGTTGATGCAATGGCTGAGGAAGCAGGTTTGTAAGGGTCTAAAAATTCAATAAGGTGTATGCTTCCATGTTTTGAATTATTCGGATTTTTTTTTAGGTAAAAGTAATTGTATAATACGATATTTTAAATAAATAAAAAAAATAAAAATTTAATGTTATACATATAGATATATAAATATATAAATGGTTTATTTAGTAGTATGATAATTATAGCTGTTAAAATGGACTACTAAAATAGGTTATCCACAAGCCCTTATAACTTCTTAGACCAAGCAATATCAATGATTTTTATATAAAATATTTTTTTTGTCTAATTGAAGACTTTTTTCTCAAAATTTTTTCAAAATAATTAAATCATGATTTTTATTTTGATGGAAAAAAATGGCCCTTATAACTTCTTAGACCAAGCAATGTCAATGATCTTTATATAAAAGATTTTTTTGTCCGATTGAAGACTTTTTCTCAAAAATTTTTCAAAATGATTAAATCATGATTTTTTTTGATGGAAAAAAATGGCAAATCCCGACCGGATTGCAGATAATGTTTGATTCAAAAACTTTTTTTTTTACTTTCTTCCCTCTCTTCCTTCCGATCCTTTCTTTTTCTCTCTTTCATATTCTCTTTTTTCCTCTTCACTCTTCTTATTTTCTCTCTTATATACGTAGGCTATTATAAACCTAAATGTGTGATCCCTTTTACTAAAATAAAAAATAAAATATTTAGAATAAAATAAACGATACATTCAATTGGAATTAAGAGAGTATTTAATATATTTTTTCTTTTTAGCCCATAAATCTTTTATATTTATAGACATTAATTGCAATAAATTATATAAACACAAAAATATTAACAAGATTATTAAAATTCACTCTTTCTGTACAAGATATAGTGTCAAAATTAGACTAGATACGAGAATTTATTAAATGTGTAATTAATAAATAATTAAGAATATTTTAGATACAAGAATTTATTAAATGTGTAATTAGTAAATAATTAAGAATATTTTTTTAATAAAAATAATTACAATATAATAAAATTAATTATATACTCCCGCCGTTCCATAACAAATTATCCATTTTTTCATTTTAGTCCGTCCCATAACAAAGTATCTATTTCTTTTTTTACTAACTGTACTATATACCTAACATTACAAGTACCCTTATAATTTACAATATATTACACAAATGTCATTACCTTTATATTACATAATACTAATAAGGTTATTTTAGTCATTTATATTTTATTCCTACTATATCTCAATATAATACTAATATTTCTAAAACTCCGTACAAAAAATAAACAGATACGTAGTTATGGGACGGAGGGAGTATTATTAAAATAATTGTTTCGTATAATTAAAATTAAAAATTTAAAATATGGTTAAAATGTAATCCTTTTTATTAAAAAAAATATAAAATGTGAAACGGACA